AACAAAGTATCATTACAAACACTGAGGCAATTTGTGTTGTAACCCTGGATACATGAAGAAAAGGAGGACTGGAAACTACTTTCATGTCTCTAGAAATTATTTTGAGTAATAAAGAAAACATACAGGTCTTACAGGTAACCGATTCCTTTGCATGGCAATGTTTGAATGAGGACATAACAAAAACTAACTTCATGCCTATTACTGTTTGTTCACGACACTGTAAAAACTTCAAATATTTAGCAAAAAATGGCAAATGACTGGGAATATTTTAAAAGTACTGTTCAAAATTCAACTGCAGAGAATGTGGAAAATCTTTACAGTCAATACAGGTATGGGCTGGAGTATATTTTTATTGCATCACTGTTAAATGCTGAGGATTAAAGGGAGTTGTTCATATTCCCTTACCTCTGTTCTTTGTCCATAATTCTGTCAGCAGGTATTTATGCTACATGCTTTTCTCTCGAGGTTTAATTAACAATGCTTTCAGCAGCTAGTTATACATAGTGCCAGAGTTTTATGCAACTATCAGTAGTGAGGTATTCTAAAAATATATGCCTCACCATTGCATTTCTATGGTGGGAAATATGAAACTGGAAAAAGTGCAATTAGAAATTGAATATTTTGGCAAAGAAAAAAGCAAGAAAAGGGTTCATTTGTGTATTAATCACACAACAGTTTTATGATTTGTGATTATAAAACACCTGCATGAACCAGACAAATGATGGCATTGCAACTTTGACTCAGAAGGTACTGGATTTAAATTAAGACCAGGAAACCAGTCATTCCAATTCAGATGCAAATTGTTTTCCTTGAGTTTCCTACCGAAAAAGCCTTCAAAGAAGCCACAACTAATTTCTTTTGTCCTGCTTACTATTCCTCATCATTACCACATTCATTTTGAACTACACAAGCTCTGCAACCTGTCAGTCAACAGATCACACACCCATACTCAATTAAGATAATGGTCATGGGGGCAGGCAGTAAAATTCATGTACATTCCAATTGTGTTCGTGGCACTAAACTAAACCTTAGCACAGACAAATTTAAAAATGGAAAGGAGGGAGGAAGTTATTAAGATTAAGGTGTCTTGTGATGTCACACTCCTACAAAATGTTGGTATCTATCTGCCAGACTGTACAATACCATATCCCAGAAGACTGTAATCTTTATATCCAGTGCAGTGGGGACCTCAAATCTCATGAAGTTTCTCCTATACAACATCTTTATTAAAACCGTCACAACACAACGATACCGAGGTCAGTGCCTAGTTTTGGCTCTGCTACATGTTTCGGCTATTAATAGCCATCATCAGGCAAATGCATGGCTAATATATATACACCACTGAACTGCAGTATTAGTAAAATTGGATACAATAATATTAATTATATAAGATACTTGACATAAAATACAATAAATTAGATTATATAAAACAAAAGTTATAGTATAAAACAAGAATAAAATTCTTAGATTGATGCTTTACATCATCGAGTCAGTCGTTGGTTTTTGTAATTTTGTTGCGTTCCCATGGACAAATTGGAGTATTCTATATTTTGTGTGTATATAAAAAACTGTTATTGGAGGCTCGTGATGTACATGTAGTAATATTAATGTTAATTATTTAGTTGGTGCCTCAGCTTACAAAGTATTGTCTGTTCTGTAGGGAACGTAAACGACGACATTTTATACTATAACTTTTGTTTTATATAATCTAATTTATTGTATTTTTATGTCAAGTATTTTATATAATTTAATATTATTGTATCCAATTTTACTAATACTGCAGTTCAGTGGTGTGTATATATGATGGCCATTAATAGCCGAAACATGTAGCAGAGCCAAAACTAGGCACTGACCTTGATATACTTGTGTTGTGACGGTTTTAATAAAGAGGTTGTATGTTATAACACAACAGGATGCATGAAATGAAAGTTTCTCCTACATGCTTCTGGTATTTTAGCTGCCAGCAAGTCTATATATATATATATATATATGGTCAAGAACAAAGTCAGACTACCCAAGGGACATAAAAACCACAATTATTATGTTCTAAAAAACAATGACCCTGGACTGAATAAAATAATTGTTGGCAGTAAGTGAATATGTGGATGCTGAACCCAGTAGATGCATGGCATAAGGTGAGTAGACATGTGTTAAATGACTGCTGGGATCATGGGTTCAGATTCTTCCTAGGATGTACCAATTACCATAATCTCTCCAATCTGTACATGTGTGATGGAAAGGATGCCCAATACAGATAAAAATCTTCGAGGGAAGAGATCCCACAACAGAATGAACTCAAAAAAAATGGAGAGGGGGGGACTGCAAGAGAATTTCATATTAGTAGATTCTAAATGGCTCGGATTATGTATGGTGTATAACACTCAGAATTACTAGGTTCTTGGACTTTGTCCATTGCCCGGTATTCTAAAAACCACTTTGCAAATATTACGAATGGTCCAATGATGTTCTTCACATGTTGAAATAAAGATGCCCCCATTGTAAATGACACTGAAAAATAACATCTTCAGTCCAAATTATCAAAACTGTTAAGTTACACAGCATACACATTGTGGAGGGAAGAAATTTCAGCAACAATAAAGTCATCCCAAATTTTCTATCCTTCATGCACTTCTCAGTACATGCAATGTGTGAAGCAGTTAAGGTCTAAATATGTACTATTTTGCTATTTTGTTATAAAAAAATTTTGTTTCTTCACATAATGCTGACAGCTGATGTGTACAGTGTTTCTTACTCTCTCTTTCTGTCATACTGGTGGCAGTTCTGGGCTTGAAAACCAAGGTGTGTGTGTGTGTGTGTATCAAATACTTAAGCATGAAAATAATCACCATTACTCTCTCATGACCTTGAAATGACAAAAGCTGCTATGCAATGATAACGAAAAGGAAAATCCATTGCTTGGTAATGGCAGGTAAACATGTTAACAATTCCGGGCTATCTCTAGACAACTGCTTCGTAAACGAGTTCCTGCGGCAACTGATACGCATGCAATGGTTGAGGTACTGTTGGACTATAAGAATGGAAATGGCATTTTCTATGTGGTTCATACCAAAATGTTATAAGCAGGGTCAGTCAAATTCTGGAGTTGGAGCTGTCAGGAGTTCCGTTGAGCAAAGTGACTCGGTTGCAAATCAGTTCACTTGAAAATCAGCCTGTGAAGAGAAGACTAGGAGGTTGGTATGAAATGGCTGCCAGCCTGAGACAGAGCTAGTTGAGTTGTCAGTTTACAAGAATTCTGCACAGGCTGCTGTAACAAGAGGACCTGAGTGTGGGCTGCTGAAGAATCTCCCTCAGTAGAAGCCGCTGCCAGGAAACGGATAGTCGAGAATGAAACAGACTGAGGACACTTGTCAGTGTGTGTCAGTGATTTGAAAAGTGTAGTTCCATGTGGTGTATACAAGTGGTCAATAAATTCATTCACCAGTACATATGCCATCTATAGTCATGGACGCCTAAATCGTGATATCCTGGTTTCAGAAGTGGTTGAACTGGATTCGCTAGATTAATTGGACTGCATAGGACTGATTCAGTCAAAATAAGGCAAGATGGAACAAACAATGGAGTGCCTGTTGGCCAAAACAGACACCAACCAAGTAGTAATGCTAACCAGGATGATGGCCAAAACGGACTCCCAGCTAGGGAAAATGGAGGACTCTCTAGGAAGGACAGAGGCCATGGATTTAGAGGCAAATCCAGAGGAAATATAAACTGAGGCAGTGCACGATGAGGTCCCTAAAGAAGATGCCTCAGAGAAAACTGTCATAGCACTGAAGAGCCAGCATGGAAACTGGCATCTAGCTGTAAGGTGCCGTGGTCATCCGAAAAAGCAGACCCAGGGAAATGGTGGGTCCCGGAGGAAATTGGACATTACCTGCAGAGGGATGACTTGTCATGCCATTCCTGCGCAGTGTAAAGGACACGGTCATCAGGGACCAGGCAGGGACAATGTTGCAAGTGGGGCCCCTGAAGAACAGATACATGAGAGGAGCCAATGAACAAACCAGGAAGGCAGCAGGGGAATAAGGAAACAAGGCTCAAGACAGCAGCTACGTCTGAGGAAGGAGGTGACAACTAGCAATGGCATTAGAGTACGAAGCAGGAGACAGGAGCTAGGTCTTGGAAGCAGGAGGACATCTGGCAGGTTCTTCAGGAAAACCATTGGGCTGGGGATCATGAAGTGAACAGCAGGATCTTACATCAGGATTCGAAAAATGAGGGCCACGACATTGTGCAGGGATCAGCCCCCTTCAAAGTGAAAGAAGAGACCACTAACAGATTAAGAGCTATGGATGTAGGAGTATTGCCCTCACCGATCAGTAAAGGAGAATGATGATAGTAAGCCTGGGTTGGCTTGCACCTTATAAGGGAGCTGTCTGGGACAAATAAGGAGGGAGCAGCTGGAGAATAAACATTGTGCAAACCGAGCCACAGGGAGGAAGGTGACACCAATTACAGATGTCATGAGCACAGCCCTCGGAAAAGAAGAAACAGCAGTATTTCTATAGGTTATTCGGCTGAGCAATGTGACGTATAGACCTGTTGCTATGTAGTGACTTGGCAAACAAAAGAACTGTGTTTCCTGTGCGGTCCAGGCTGTGACCGTTTCTATAAAATGGCACAGTAAACATGCCTCTACAACAACAGAGAAGCTGTGTTTTCTGTGTGGTCCATGACAAGGAAGTTATCTTGAAGACAAATGGTGCCACAGTTGAGTTGCAGGATATTCACTGGACAGTAACAATGTGAGCACGAAAGCTGGAGAATAGTAATTGTAAAGATTTGTTACCAGGAAACATATAGTGAAAACATGGCACAGGAATAGCCATTGCTGACAGCTTTTATCAAGCAACAACTAGTGAAAGCAGACTGAGAAGACTTAGGGTGGAGCAATTTTAGTGTGCAAATCAGCAATAGTGTTACAGTTATTTGTAATTACAACCTGTAGGTTGTCAAGAAATCTATTCACCAATACAAACTCTGTCTATAGTCACTAATACATGTGACAATGTGAAATGAAACATGGGAATAATATTTATTCAGTAGAAAATTATTTTCCTGTGTTCTTTTATTATACTGATGTATTATGTGGTGCTCAAAGCCGACTTTATTACAGGTAGCACTCCAAGGACCAAACTTTCATTGTTTCTGCATTCAATTAAGTGGCCTCACTATCACAAAGTAGCTAATGACTATGGAATTTAATGGCAGAAATGTCTTGTGAGTCAATCATATTTTTAAGATACATTGTCCTTATATGACATAATATTACTCACATATAAAAAGCAACTCTTCTCTTCCTTTTTCTATTATATGTTCTTTGAACATGCACTGGTTATAAGCCTATTCTTAAGAAAAATATTTTCACAATTCATAAGAACCAAAAACACCCTGAACATTGCTATAAAGAGATTTCACATGCACTTGAAAATGCAAGTGATACAAAAACGTTTCATCCCAGAACTTCTGAAATATAAATGAGAAAGATTCTATGACAGATTGTCTGAAAATTAAGACATTTCATACCATTTTCCTTCCCTGTGATAACATACATGTTTATGAAAAGACAGGCTTTGAATATTTTAATTCATGTCTTGCATATAATGTCAATGAAGGAAAAAGGGACATTTCAGTTTGCAGTATTTCTGTATTTTAATGCAATTTTTAAAACAGAACACTGTCTAAAACCTTACGTAGGCATTATGTCAAAATTTAGAAATTCTGACCACAATTTTTCCTCTAAAGTCATATAATTAAATATAAGAACTGGCACAGTACAAGACTCTACTCTTGAGAGTTGTGAGGAATGCAGGAAGTTGAAACCATTAAAGACAAGGTGACAACATGGATCAGTAAATATTACCCGAGCCAAAACATCCAGTTTGGTGGAACACTACACAAGTATGCTTGTGGCCAATACATTCTGAACCGATGCTATACACAGTATGTACATATCCCTCCCCCACCTGACAGTCCCTTCCTCCCTCATCCCACAAGTGACAAAATTAGAGTCTTTACCAAAAGCTATTATTGCATGCCCATTTGGGTTACATCCTTTTCATGCTTGAGGACAAGATTCTTTTACCTTGGTTTCTTCCATAATGCAATTGACCGAATACCTCTCTTAAAAGCTTCATGACAATCACAACTCCAGGTGTAATGTGGGGATAACCCATTTATGTTAAACTTTTAGCATGGGTTGAGAGTCCCTTTAAATTACTGGAGTGACTACCAACAGACATGGAATCATGCTAATAATTTCCTCGGAGAGAGAGAAAAACTTAGTTTTAGGTCTCTATACACTTACATTGATTATTGCACTCCACACTCTTCCACCAGAATGCTATGATTGTTCTTTGAGACACTATTTACATGTATGAAAATATAATCTCAATTATGTATAGGCATGAGGGTTCCCATTTCTGTTATGATTAAGAATTTACATTAAATTACTTGGGAACAAAGAAGGACTGATTTGGACCCATACCTTGATTGTTCATCTGGCTCCTTGTGTTTGTTGCATACAACTGTTGCTGGAAGTTATGGAACTGCTGAGCATAATTAGGGTCAGCTGTAGTAGGCCCAATAAAAGGCGAATTCTTAAAGTTATTAGTCTGTCCCATTGAAGGCGGAAGAGGCTGAGTCGCATCTGGGGCACTACCAAGTCCCATTGGAGAAGACTTAGGGCCAGGCACAAACATCTGTGTGTTCTGAGCATTTCCAGGCATGTTTGGATTTGGACCGCCTCCAAATATCGGATCTCCAACTGTTTGTCCTGGGCTGGATGGGAGACCAAACACGCTGCCTCCCATTTGCTGCATCCTCATCATCCCTCCTGGTCGTAAGCTGCCGCGTAACTGAGTCATACCAACACAAGGTCCTCCTGATCCCATTACCATGCCACCTGACATGGGTAAGTTCATGCCTACCAAAGGTACATTGGAGCCAATAATTGGGCCACTCAGCCCACCCATATGACCACCAACACCACTACAGTTTGTTCCTGGAAGGCCTCCAATTTGAGAATTCACACCACTCATAGCTCCATTTGGTCTGTTCATGGACACATTAAGTCTACCCATATTTGCAGAATTAGGTTGGCCACTGGTGGGGAAATACTGCAGATTGTGGGTAGGAACCTTTGTATCTAAATTGGACAGTGGGCTTGTGAAACGCTGTAGGAAATCCAAACTGGGAGGGCCCCTGGGACCAGAGCTCCCAGTTTGAGGTTTGGCAGGGAGATACTGGATGGTGTTTGGAGCACTGGCTTTAACTTGTACATTGGTACCACTGTACAGGTTAGGGCCTGGAGGTCGTCCTATCATCCTCTGAGGGACTGGACTTGAAGTGTAAGGAGATGATCCTCTTGATGGACCAAGGGTCATTATCATGTTTCCAGGTTTAGGTGAGGCAGAACTATTTGCATGCATGATAGGTTGGTTCATACTTGGTGTTGTGCTTACAGAGCCTGAACACTGAACCATTCCTCCATTTGGACTAAATGAATGGGGTGGCATGCCCACAAAGTTTGCTGGCCCTGGCTGACTTCCAGGAACCCCTGGTCCTATTGTATTCATGAGGCCACCTGCAGATGTTTGGCCATCCTGTAGTCCCTGACAACTGCCCATATCATTCATTTGCATAGGATGCATGTTAGAATTAAAAGGCAACATACCAGTAGGAATGCTGTTCATTAATCCAGTGTTCTGACCACCTGGAGAGTTTGCCACACTGCTAGTCAACTGCTGGCTCATCTGTGCCATTGATGTAATAGGATCAAAATGAGCACTCTTGCCATTGCATGGTATTCCACTGTTGCCATTAGGATTTAGTGGTACATTTTCAGACCGCATACAGGGAAAATTTCCAGAACTAGTAGGTGAAACTTCTACTGCAGCTGAGGTATTTCCTGAAGGAGACACTTCCAGGAAATGGGACGTAACTTTCATACCACCCATGGCTGGTGCAGTTTGCTGCATGAAATTCTGAGTGGGATTGGTCATGGCTGGTGATGTACTTGTGGGCCCACTTCCAGCAACAGGCAATCTTGGTGGACCCATTCCATCAACCATCTGAGGGCTTGAACTGAGAAACCTTGATCCCACTTCTGTTGCTTGAGCCTTGTTCAATGGATCAATGCCTGGGGTAAGTGTGCCTTGGTTCTGTGAAGTGGGCCCTGGGAAACGCTGTGATTGACTCTTGGGTTCTGTTGTATTTGGAGCACCAGGTGTGTGAGGGCTAGGTATGGGAAACCTACTCATCTCTCCAGTTGTGGCTGAGTAACGGGAACCTACCTCCATTGAGGTGGGAGTCAATGGTGTTCCAGGACCAGATATTCGAGCACCTGCAATGTCAGAACTTGATGTTTGCAAGCTGGAATCCAGGTTAGGCGGTGGAAGGCTGCAACAATGAAATGACACAATGAATGTCATCAAATGCACAACACATTCTAAAGAGCACAAGAACTACTATAACTAATAAACACAGTCACGAATACAGCTTGAAATTTACAATATTGTTATGTCTTTGTTTGGTGCAAATAATGAGATAAATTTGCAACTAGGAAACAAACTAAAAATACAGATTTGTGTGTTTCTTCAGACAAAAAGATTTGAACAAGGTCAGTTAAATCCAATTTTATCAGTCAAAACAGGTATTAGTAAAGTCCACATCCTGGAATCATAAGTCTTCAGCAGATTCATGAACCAGAAGTAACTGGTCCTGAACACAGATAAGGAAAAGAAATGTGTCTTTATGCACGTTAAACTATTGTACTGCATGCCATGATGTCTTCATTCTAAAATGACTAAAATCTCTATTCGTCATATATGTCGATGAATTCTAAATAATAAAACTTTTCAGGATTCATCCTACGTCACACTCAAACACGCGAATTACGCCAATCCTCTTTTATGTGAGCATTCTTTCTACATACATTTGTGCATCGTGTTCTGTGTTGTGTTTTGCTCCTGTTACTGCATGCATTGTACTGCTGGATATGTGTGTACAATGCATGCAGTAACAGGAGCAAAACACAACACAGAACACGATACACAAATGTATGTAGGAAGAATGCTCACATAAAAGAGGATTGGCGTAATTCGTGTGTTTGAGTGCGACATAGGATGAATCCTGAAAAGTTTTATTATTTAGAATTCATCGACATATACGACGAATAGAGATTTTAGTCATTTTAGAATGAAGACATCATGGCATGCAGTACAATAGTTTAACGTGCATAAAGACACCTGAGGATGGCACATTAGTGCTGAAACATGTAGTGTGGAAGTGAAGAATAAGGTGAAAAAGTGTATACACTGTAAGACGGTTAGCATAAACCATGGAAAGGAAAAGAAAACTGACCAAGGAACTCCAGAGGGCAGTTCTTCTTGACAGCTAATAACCTACTTAGACAGTCATAAAATTCTCAAAGGTACATTAGCCAGTTCACTACTGCCTACAACTGAATCCCATCCTAAGCCAGAAGAATACAGTACACAACCTCACATTGCATACCTTGAAGTAGGAACTTAACACTGTGGTATGTGGACACAATGGTAAGTGGGGGCCCTGTAAACAGCAGCAAATAACACTGGGATTGGAGGACTGCTCTCCCAAGTACAGGTCTGACAGTCTGACAGGAGAGAGTAACAGCCTACTAGAGTAAGATGCTGAACAAGACAGAGAGAAATTAATGTGTCACCCAATGGGAACTACTTGCAGTTGTGACACACAGGAACATTTCCCTAAGTAACTCTATGGACAAGAGTTCCATCTGCAGACCGACCAATCCGCATTAACTTGGCTCATACATTTTAAGAACCTTGAAGGACACACCACATGATGGATTCAACACCTGCAAAAGTACAACTTCACTTCTGTGCACTGGCAAGGCTGAAAACACAACAGTGCTGATGCATTTTTCCAATGACCATGAAGAGAAGAGTGCAGTCACTACCACAAAGTCAAGGTGCAGGCAGACAGCAAGCAGGTACAAAATACTGTGGTTGAATCAGCAGCCACTCTGACAATAGAACTGAAGGACCAGGACATTGGGCCCATTATGGAGGAAGTAGAGACCAGACAATGTCTAGAATCGAAAGACAACTCTTACTGCAGCCACACTTACAAAAGCCGCTGGGTCCAATGGTCTGTGGAATGGCATACTAAAGCACTACTAGGAATCTGACAGATGATCTAAAGTAGCCCAGACAGTTCTCTCTCAGAACAGAATGAATGTGTTGACAAAATTACATGATGGACCATAAGGAGGTCACTTGAGTGTCAACATGACCCTGAATAATGCCCAGCAAACGGTACTACTGGCTTCAGGCAAGAAACGATGAACAGTACAGACACAGCTCATGAACCAGGAATTGGGACCAAATGCATCAGTACACCAACATGGCCCTGTTTGAAAGGGTAGTCATCGATGTAGCAGGACCCTTCCCATGGAGCGACCAAGGAAACCAATTGATCCTGATTGCCGCAAACTGTGTGTGGCTAGCTCAATTTGTTTGCGCACCACAATTTTTCGAAACCTCAAAGGGACTTTGTGGACACACTGTACTTTCTCCAGTTGTGTTCTTTAAATCCTGAGGCTGAGCTCCTTGCTGACTTTCTGGGTCTGCTGGTCAAGAAACATCCTCATTGCCCATTAAGTTCAGTTGGGTCTCTTCAGTCTCATCATTGAGTTCCTTGCTGAGGCCCTGGGCCCTACCATCATTGTCTCCTTTGCAGCTATGGTTGGGACAGTCTCAAGTGCTGCTACTCATGGATCTGGACCTTTCTGGTTGACAGGATTGGCACTCTCACATCTAACTGGACTTAGCTGGCAGTCCTCCACTGTATGCTGCCTTGTGTTACTAAATCAAGCCCCATGGTGGATATACCATTTATTACTGAACTTAAATGCTGGCTTAATAGAACATTTAAATCCTCTCAGGTTCATATAATAGTAATAACTTAGGCAAGCGGAAAATGCACATTTGAAGCTAGTCCACCATTCCAGTTACAATATTTTCCTTTGTTGATAAGCTGTTTACAAATTGGCAATCAAACGTTATAATTATCTATGCAAGAAAGGAGTAATGTTGCTTTTTATTACTATTACCAAATTTTAATATGCCAGTTGAGTTGAAGACACTACATGTTGAAGACAAGTATCTTTCAGGAGTGTTGCTTCATTCTACAGAAGGATCTAGATTGACATCCCCCTTCTAGACATAAATTTGTCTCCCACCAGCTGATTTTAACCAGCCAAAGTCATTATACAATCAGCATAAGTCAAATCATGTAACAAGTTGAGAATAAAGCAGTTCCCAGAGATATAACATGGACCTCACACATGGAAACAGTTATCTTCTAGTACAGAGGGTTTAGCTATACCCTTCAGAATATAAACTGTAACAGTTACAGAAGTCAAAAGACAAATTTACATCTCTAGAAAACTACTGGTTTGCCTCCTGTGGTGACACTGCCACACTTCTGGCCACTCAAACTGGACGTAAAACAAGGTAGTTATCTTTTGTTTAGACCTTGTCAATTAATCAGTCGCCCTTTAAGAAGTGACTAAAGCAGACAAAAAAGGTCTATGGAAAAATGTAACAGACTTGGACTGTCACAGTCTGCTGGTCAACGGATGCCACAATAAACTCCACTAAATTGTTGATGGTTTCCACTACTTCAGACCAAATGGACCAAACTGTGCCCTTCACTTCTTCTTGGCCAGCTTTCATTTCAGCTTTGATTTATTCCTGGCCAGTCATTTTTGTGGCTTCCATCCTCTCCTGGACAGCATTTATGGCAGTGTCCATCTTGGATCCCATCTCTTCTTGGTTATCATCCATTCTGAACTGATCTCCATCCTTTTTATGAAGGCTACCAGATGTTCCAAGTGTCCCATGATTACTTGTATCTACCATGTGGGTTCCAATTCAACAGAGTCCAACAATTCAATTAAATCCCACTTCTAACACCAGCTGTCATGTGTTACTGACTAAAGACATGGTTTGAACTGATTACTGAATGCTTATTAGTCACAACTACAAATAATTATAACACTCTTACTAATCTACACAATCTACAAGTAACTACAGCTGCAAGCAACTGCTACTTCTCTACTAGTCACCGCATGGTAGCAGCTTCTAACAGTGGGCATACCCTTTACGACTTCTGTGCTTAACAGCTCCTGTCCTCGCTGCCTGGCAACTGACAAACCATGGTCCAAGGCAGAGAAGTAATTTTCTGCTTGCCTTTGCCAGCACAGTTATTCTTTGTTTTGGTTTAGTGCCATCCTTCTCCCATGGTCCTCCTTATATAACTTCAGGTCGGATCCAAAAGTTCCTCTACTGTTATGTGTGCATTCACTGACACAGGGATGAGTTTAACGAGCCACAGTCCAGCAGTGGATGTCTCTGTGGTGCTGCTCTGACCCCACTATTCTGGCTTCCAGGTGTCATGTCACAATATCTAAATGAAGCTCCTTAACTTATAATTTTGTTCTTTACAGTCCTCTCAAGTTGGTATAATGATGCCCGGTCATCTTGAACCACTCTAATAATCACCAGCAACTATTACATTATTGATAGTGTTGTCAAAAATTTTTTCCTGGGTATGACATTCTGGTGTTTCTTGTACACAATACAAAAAAATTATGTTGTGACAAAGCCAAGCAACCTTCATGGGTTTTCTATGCTTCCTTGATCTGTTTACTCTTTGATGACTACACACAATTAGAAAATGCATGATTTAAAAGTTACACTATTTACAGTCAATACAATTTTTACAAAAATGATCAAAATTTTTTGTTTCCCTGAGAACCAATAAGTGCACTATACTATATGCATTATATATAGTACAACACTACTCACGTTGGTGACCTAATATTCGTATCTTTCAGACTCGTGTTCGGTTGCTTCTGAATGGTAAGTTCTTGGCCATCAAATGTATTCAGGTACTGGATTTGTTGTGGAGAAGGAACAGGCATCAAGTTCGGTTCCTTATTTGATTGATTTGGTTGCTGTTGTTGCTTTTGCTGAGCCATAGACTGCAGCGTTCGACAATACATGCCATCAACTGAAAATTAGAAATTTCATAATTTTCAACTGCTTATACAATTTGATAAAAAGGATAAGAAAGAGATTTTGAAAGAAAACTATAATTAATCTTTTCCACCGCCTACAACTGTGCATATGTTAAAAAGTATTAGTTGTTGTTGTAGTCACTGATATCATCTTTGTCATCACCATTTTTCTTTCAGGAAGATCTTAATACTCAAGTACAGCTTTGTGTGTGATAAATTTGCTGGCTATAATCTCAAAGTTCTGCGCCACTGCCATGTTAGTAACTCATAATTTATACACAGCATTTTGTATATAACTGGCAAGAATATTTACGTATGGCAGTTAAAAAGTTCCTGGAATTCCCCTGCAGACGGAGAACGAGCGATAAGATAGCACACATACTGTTGTGGTATGGAGCTCAGCATGTCTGCTCGCAGGCGCAACAGGTCTGGACAGGTTTCAGTGTGCAGTGCTGTTACTGTTGTTTGAATCGGACGTGAGTGTTGGTCATTTGGTGCACTGTCGCAGTTCAAACAGTGTGCGAACATCGAGTTCAGGTGCAATTTGGGAAGATCTGTTTCAGAGATGCAATTGGTCCTGCAGCAAGTTTACGGTGATACTGCACTAAAGAAATCCACAGTTTACAACTGGTTTTTCCTGGTTTAAGAATGGGCAGGAAATGTTAGATGATGACCAGCGCAGCAGGAGACCTTCGACACCCAGAACTGAAAAAATTATTGGAAAAGTGTGACAACTGATTCGATGTGATCGAAGAATGACCATCGCAGAGTTGGAGCAAGAAGTTGGTATCTCTCACGGATCCATTCATGCCATTTTGTATGATGATTTGAAGATGAGACACGTCAGTGCGAAGTTTGTTCCGAGGCAGTTGACCACGGATCAGACGGAATGTTGCATGATGGTCACTGGCGATCTGCTTGACAAAAGAATGCAGGAACCAGCGTTTCTCAAAAAGATCAGCACTGGTGATTAGCCACTGGTGTTTGCTTATGACCCGGAGACGAAGATGTAGTCATTGGGGTGGCACACAGCGTAGTCTCCCTGGCCAAAAAAATCACGCCTCGTCAGATCCAAAGACAAAGTGATGCTCACTGTATTCTTTGACATCAACGGTTTGGTGCACCATGAGTTCGCACCACCTGGACAGACTGTTACTGGCCATTTCTACATGCAAGTTTTGCAGAGGTGGTGTGGTGTAGTTCGGAGGAAGTGACGTGACAAGTGGCAGGGACAGTGGTTTCTGCATAACGATAACGCACCAAGCCACACATTGCTTGTTGTGCAGCAATTCCTTGCCAAGAGAAACATTCCTGTCCTCACTCAAACACCGTACTCGCCGGATCTCGCTCCGAGTGACTTTTGGCTGTTCCATACTCTGAAAATGGGCCTCAAGGGGACACATTTTGCAACCATGGAGGACATCAAATCGAATGCAACTGCTGAGCTCCAGAAGATTCCAAAAGAAACCTTCCACTGCTGCTTCCAACAATGGCAGGATCAATGGAGGAAGGGTGTGCATGCGCAAGGGTTCTACTTTGAAGGTGATTAGGTAAGTGTTGCCATATGTCCTACCATTAGAGTGCTATACCACCATTCCGTGAACTCTTTGACTGCCCGTCATATAATGACTCAACAAAGCACTGTCCATAACATTAGATTAGAGTCATAACATTAGAGTCACTGTTCGATAACAGCTTACAAAATAAATAATCTTTATTCCCTTGATCTTAACTGTAAAAATTATACAGTAACATCTATATGACTTGCCAACTATAGTTTTATCACTTGAAAATGTCACAGTTTATGGTTGTAAAATATTAGAAAACCTAAAGACAACATTTACCATTCTTATAGTAACACAAAACCCCTATATGTTACGTACTGAATAAATGTTGATTTCCTGATAATTTAAATTCTGCACACTGAAATTTTACAATATTATAATTTAATAACATATGAGGCTCACAGGGAACTGATCACCAACACTTCTTGGTAACAAATGTTTTGACAGAGCAACTGTGTTACCTATATATGATGATATGTAAGAGTAGCTGGTGCATTTAAGTGATTAATATTTCATATGATCTTACATAGGAAAGACCAGAGAGCATTAATTATATATTTACCTGCAGGCTGCTGATTTGATGTTGATGTGTTTGGTTGACTACTTGAACTTGGTGTCAGGGATGGGAACTCTGTGCTTGACTCCTTCCTGGCTGCGCTTGGTGAAAGATGTGTAGACACCGGTGTGCCAGGGTTACTTAAATTTACTGGCCGGCTTGCAGTGGGAGACTCCAGGGATGTACTGTGTGTCCCAGTGGGACTGGGTCCTGATCCCACCAAACGTGTGGAACTTCCACCATTTCCACTGCCATTACTGCCCATAGAGAACTGCTGTCGATTTGGATCTGCTGGTGAATTTAGGCCAGATGCAGCTCGTGGGGATGGAAGTGAGAGGTTAGAGGTGGGATTATTGGGAGATGCTGGATTTGGGCTGGGCATAGCATTAGGAACACTGGCAGATCTTGTGGTCTGATGATATGGTGGAGGGGGTCCTTGTGCTCTTGGGCCAGACCCTACTGACCCTGGCCCTGTCCCAGTTCCTCCTCCTGCCCCAGGAAGCCTGGATCCACAAGACCCAGGACCACTTGGGCCCATCTGCTGGACAGAAGAGCTTGCAGGACTCCCAATCCCAGAACCCGAGCCTCCCATTACCAAGCCAGATGGACCTTTCTTCTTCCTCTCCTCATAGAACTGATGCTGTAGTTTTTGCCACTCAATCTGAGCTGCCACTGATGTTGGAGTAATTTGATTGGGGCCACCCAATCCCCCCATCATAATACCTTTCTGTGTCATCACTCCTGGGCCTCCATTATTATTCATTCCTGACTGACCTGGACCTGGACCAGGTCCAGGCCCAGGCCCCAGTCCCATCACTGGTACAATCCCATGCTGCATTAACATCCCTTCTGGTTGCTGGTTTACATTACCCCCATCTGGTACTGGGGACTGGTGTTCTGGAAATAGCATCTGTTGCATTTTGCGCAATGTTGCCAGCTGTTCTTCACGATGCTGTCTCTGCTGAGGCGTTAAGTTTTCATCAGGAACTTTGACACCTGACAAGTGAATATGTAGATCTCATGTTAAATGGAAAAGAAATATGAACCCCAATAAAATATGTGATGGAGCCGGGACAGTGCAGTCAGTATAGTGACTGGCTACAGGCTGGACGATGGAGGAGTCAGAGTTCCAAGTCCCAGTAGGGTCAAGAACTTTCCTTTCTGCACACTGTCCAGACCAGCTCTGGGACCCATCTAGCCTATCAAATAGGTACTGGGGGTTCTTTCCCCAGGGTTGAAGTGGCTGTGGCATGAAGCTGACCACTCACCTCCAACTAGTGCTGAGGCCAAGAAAACATGGGTCTATACAACCACTCCCCCATACATCTTCACGGCATAGTGCTCACTCAACTAGTTAAGCACAGGGATAATTTTACCTTTTTTTGACAAAATAAATGAAAAAATATAGAATAAAATATTAACAATGTAATGAACATTATGTAAGATATTAAAGATCAGATGTCTGAAAAATAAAAGTCCTTTAACGTAAAACTTTGTTACTCCAAGTTTCACCTGGGTCAGGATTGGAAATAGTGGCAGGTCACTGTAAACAATATGAACCTTTGGTTGCCTTAAGAGATGAAAAATTCTTCATTATGAAGATTACACAAATCTTTCACATTGAAGTGTCTATTACTTTCTCAAGAAGGGCTTTGCTCTACGAAATCAGCAAGTCTGGTATACAGTAAGTCTTGTTAATGCAAAAACTATTACCTCACGTACATCACATTCTGTAAGCACAGTAATTTAGTAATAAAAAATTACTAACATACAATTTTAATACATTTTGTACCAGTGTGTATATATTTGCTATCCTCAATAAAACAGGAAACATACTGTATTTACTGGCATAATTTATAACAATTTTTAACTCAAAACATCATGTCTGTGTAAAGTACTTTACATAATATCAATGTACACAGTATAGTGAGGCAACTGGAGCTGAAAGTGATGTGGGAAAATGGTATCGACTCCAATACATAACTCTTATCTGAAATACTATTCCTGTGGACTATAAATTTGATTATCAAGGCTCTACTCTAAACACAGCAACACAAGATGATGATTTAACTCATGAATGGAAAGGATGTGGAAGGAAGTGGTCACAGCCTGTTTCAAGGCAATATGTAAGCATTCACCTGGATAGACTGGCAAATATGGTAAATACCTAATTATGGCATGTTTTTAACCAGTGAATAAGTCTTTTGTCTCTTTATTGTTGAGCTCTCAGTGTGTATAATTCATTTTCAACTTTGCTGTACATTACAATAATATGGTTATCAGAATCAAACTGGTGCATGTACTTTCTGTACAAGTACATGTAATTACTGGCTGCTTCCAAGCCTTTCAGTGTATCAAAGAACACTGATTTATGATATGATACTTCGTCATCTTCTTCTGGCATAGCCAACTACTCCTCTAACACCTGGTCAACTGCCTGGATTCCAGAAATCTCCAGAGAAAAATCCCTTACTGTAGGGTCCTCAAATTGCACTCCAAGAGGAAGTAAAATATGCCCATCATTTTCTTCAAATTCAGTGAGTTTCACTGCTGCTGACATGATCAATTGAGAAACAACAATTCACAAAGCAGTTTTTGATTGTAGTAGGTGTTATCAATCTCCAGGCATCTTTTGTGAAGTGCATTGCAGGCAACACTTCCAGCCTCGTCTGTTTACCATCGTTGCTGTTTCCTCAATTTGTGCTGCTCCATTCAGTAACATGTGTTCAATTCAGACTGGTAACTTACTTACTTACTCATGGAGCTGAGCCCTTCGGGAGGAGCCACCAATTCTGCAGCTACTCAAGAATTTCCCAGCATTTTATGGAGCCTGAAGGTTCATTACCATGTTCATAGGAGCACCCCACTGGTCACTATCCTGAGCCAGATCAATCCAATCAATACCATCACATTCTATCTCTCTAAGATCCATTTTAATACTGTCCACTCACCTACACCTTGGTCTACCCAGTGGTCTCTTTCCTTCTGGCTTTCCCACCAATGTCCTATAAGCATTTCTATTCTCTGCCATTCATGCTATATGCCTTGCCCACCTCATCGTCGTTGACTTGATCATTCTAATTATACTTGGAAAAGAGTACAAGTTATGAAGCTCCTCATTATGTAGGTTTGTCCAACCTACTGTCACTTCATCCCTCTTTGGTCCAAATATTCTCAACAACCTGTTCTCAAACACCCTCAGACTTTGTTCCTCCTTTAATATCAGAGACCAAATTTCACACCCATATAGAACCACATGCAAAATTATAGTTTTGTACAGTGGAACCTCGCTTAATGAGCACCACTCATAACGCGCAAAACAAATAGTAAAAATGACTCACTTAACAAGCGACATTTTGCATAACAAGTGACGAGAGGGGAAGTTCCGGATTGGGCGCTTGCTACATCAGTCTGTGTTTAGCACTCATTCCGCTAGAATCTTAGTGTCGCTTGTGATCACACATTTTTCCAAACTTGTGTTCAAATATATTGTTTGTGATTTTTTTTGTGCAAAGTTTAATAACCCTTGCAAAATTGTCCCCGAAGAAAAAGCCGCAAAAAGACAGCCATAAGAGAATAAAAATGACCGTAGAAATGAAACATAAAATCATTGAATTGCGAGAACGAGGTGTGAGCATGACTGATCTAGCACGCACATACAATCGGTCTACATCAATGATTTGCACGATTTGGAGTTGCATTGTGTTTCACAGCAAGAAGTTGTGGAGGAGAGCTTGTCAGAGGAGGAGGAGGAGGAGGAGGAGGAGGAGGTAACAGCAAAGCAACAATCTTCTGGCGCAATAAGAGAAATGCAAAAAGCATGGGAAACTTTTGCATCATAAATTGAGAAGCAACACCCTAATAAGGCAGTGGCTATTCGTGCTACAAATTTATTTAATGATAATGTTGTGTCGCATTTTCACCAAATTTTGAAGTGTCGGCAAAAACAAACGTCTCTAGACAGTTTTCTAGTAAAAAGGAATTAGATATGAATCATAAATAATAAACTAATTATTTCAATTTTTTTTTTTGTTTTCTGCAAATCAAATTCATATTCCAGGTTGGTTCATTCCACATAGAAGAAAAAATGAAGATGATTCACGCTCCTTAAAAATGTATATATAATTTTCTTTGAATAAACGTTATACATAAAATTTTTTGAGTATTTTTTTCGGCATGGAACGCGTTATCATATTTTACATTAATTTATATGGTAAAAATTGTTTCGCTTAACAAGTGTTTCACATTACGAGTAAGATTCTGGAATGAATTATGCTTGTTAAGCGAGGTTCCACTGTATATTCTAATTTTTATGTTTTTGGACAGAAGACGAGAAGACAAAAAATTCTGGACTGAATGGTAGCAAGCATCACCTGAGTTCAATCTCCTCTTAATTCTCTCCTCAATCAGGTTTTAATTTGTTATGGTTGTTCCCAAATATCTGAAATGTGCCACATTTTCAAAACATCTGCTTTCTATCATTATGCCATGATTCTGCCCTGCATTTCAGTGATGAGACAGCAACATATACTTAGTTTTCTCTCTGTTTACTTCTAGACCAACCTCCTTACTTGCATCAATTAATGTTTGTGTGTTTTTCTTCACGGTATCTATATTATTACCCACTAGATTCACATCATCGGCATGGACTAACAGCTGATGTGTCCCGTTTAATTTCAGCCCCACCTGGTTTTCCTGGACCTTCCGAATGGTATATTCTAAAGCAAAGTTGAAAAGGAGTGGTGATAAAGCATCTCCTTGTTTTAGACCATTCTGGACAGGAAATTTATCAAACAAATGTTTACCTATACAGACTGTACTATACATTTACCACACATTTTAATCAGACTACCTAGTTTCATGGGTATCCCAAACTGTATCAGAATATTGTACAATAGTTCCCTCCTAACTGAATCATAGGCTTTCTTTAAGTCTACAAATAGCTGATGTACTGTCTCATTGTACTCCCATTCTTTTTTCCAATATCTGATGAATGTAAAAAATCTGATTTGTAGTTGATCTGTTGTCAAAATCCACATTGACCATCCCCAATAATTTCATCTATACATGCACTTAACTTTGAGAGAAAAATATTGGATAGAATATTGTATGAAGTGATAGCAGTTTAGTTGGCACTACACTTCGCTGACAAGCGGTGGTTGCTCGGTCAGTATGGTTCGTTTGCAGACTGAAATCACGGAGTTTGTTTTTGAAAGCAGTGATATCCCATGATAATTACTACAGTCAGTTTTATCACCCTTCTTATGAACTGGTATAACAATAGTATCCTTCCACTGAGCAGGAAATTTTTCCTTATGCCAAAGAGAAGTAATTAGCTAGTGGATCTTAGAATGTAATATTTCGCCTCCTACTTGAATAAGTTCTGCTGGAATTTGATAACTACCTGGCGATTTATACCGTTTCAATTTTGCAATAGCACTTTCACCCTCACAAGGGCTAGGATCAAGTACTGACGGCTCTGCTGCATGGATTTCTGTCTGCCTATCATCACTGACCCTATGTACATTCAATAACTGAGAGTATTCTTCCACCTATTCAAAATGTTGTGGGAATTTGCAGGCAGATCACCATTTTCATCCTTCACTAAGTCACTGCTAGGTTGGTAAACCTTCTTAAAGTCATTTATTCCTCTATACAGGTCTCTAATGTTCTTCTTCTTACTGTTCATTGCAAGCTCATCAATTTTGTCTTTCAGATATCCTTCTGTTTGTTCCTGAAATGCCTGCTGGTTTCACGTCTTATATTGTTCAGATTATCCCCATTTAACTTGCTTGGATCCTGTAACCTTTGCAATTTGGCTTGTTTTCTTTGGTCCAATAATTATGAGCATCCTTCATCGAACCATGGCTTATACTTCTTCAGTTCATAATACCCTAGACTCTCTTTGGCAGAAATTTTGATATTCTCTTTAACAGTTTCTCAAGCTTTATTAACATCTACCTCAGTGTCCAAGTTTTCCAAAGCTGTGAAACTATTTGAGATTTCAACACCATTCTGCTCTTTACTCTCTACCTTGTTTAATTCCTTGAGATTGAACTCCTCCATATGAACTCTGTGTGTTGTTTGTTTACTCACTGTCAGTTTCTCCCTAACCTTTGCCACCACCAGGTAGTGGTCAGTATCACAATCTGCTGTCCTGAATGATTGGACATCAAGTATACTTGAATGCTGTCTCCTATTTATCAAAATATGGTTGATGTGATTGTGTATCTTCCCATCAGGAGATGTCCAAGTAAATTTATGGATGTTACGATATGGGAACATTGTACTTTTGATAGTAAGATTTTTTGATGTGGCAAAGTGTACTATTCTAACTCCATTATCAATACTAATTTCAGGCAAGCTATCATTCCCAATCATTGGTTTGAAAATGTCTTCCCTCCCTACTTTGACATTTCAATCTCCTAACAAAATTTTTATAGGGTACTTCGGGAATTTATCAAATACATGTTCTAGTTTTCATAGAACCTGTCCCTTATGTCATCAATTTTATCTTCTGTTGGGGTGTGAACATTCATAACGATGATATCAGACCAGAAACCTTTTAGTATTATATATGATATCCTATCACTAAAGACCTCTACCCTCTTAACTGCTGATATGATTCTCTTATGTATGAAAAAACCTGTACCTAATTCATGATTTTAATTCCATTTTTCATAGAAAAATGTATATTCACCTGCTGGTTCAATGCCACTTCCATCCCATCTGACCTCCTGCACTCCTGCTAATATAACTTATATTTTAAGATTTCTTCTGCCACTGCCCTGAGCAAACCTGCCCTATACATAATTCTAATTCTTGGAAAATATGGTTGCCAGTTTCCTTGGTGTATCCTTGCCCTTAGATTGTAGATTGAAAAGCAGATCTGTTTCATCAGCATATATCACGCAACTCAATTTCTTACACTAGTCCATAATTGTTCCAGTATATTACAGTTTCTGAATCAACACTCCAGCTTTTACCTGGTCAGTTCTGCAAACAATGTTGTATCTCCTCTTAAATCTGTCAAACAAACCATTGGAAGCTGTAGAGTTGGCTATTCCCAGATGAGCAGCAATGATCAAGATCTTCTCCTTAAGGTGGGTGCCCCTTTTGGAAGCATCGCTCTCACATACTTGCTTGCACAATGTAGCAAGCGTAGATTCCAGTTCCTTCAGTGGTTTCCACTACTTGGAGGAAGGTCCTCAATGGATATAACTTTTTCCAGTTTCTTCACTGTTCATCACAATAGTGTTTAATGTGGTCACTTAAAGTCTCAACTGTAATGCCAATTCAACATGTATCCCTATATGTGCATCACCTTGCAATAAAGTATTTATTTTATCAACTGCTGCAAATGATTTATATTTTCCTCTATTATCCATATGCCACCCTCTTGATGTGAAATTTGTCTTCGTCCATAAAACACTTCGGTCTTTATGAAGTGAAGTCATATGGGCAGAGGAAAATCTGAGAATTTAACTGGGTTGCAATTCTGGCAAATGTTTCTCTTACGAAAACACACTTGCTGCTGTGTTGCAATGGTCAATTTTGGCAAATTTATTTGGCATGGGAGAGACAAACTACTCTCACTGAGTTAACTTACACTGAGGCACAATTACGATTAAAGATGGTTTAACGCACAAGAGCCATTCGGATTGAAGTGGTGGACAAATCTTATCACATGCCTTAATAATGTCACATTGTGAGCATGTGAATCACTTGCTGCTGTTCATCAGTTAACTGACAGTATGTATTTTTAGGATGAACCATTTGCGACTGGTAAGAGGGATAGAAGTCCATTGCTTTGGATAAGAAACTCTGAGTACTAAACTGCAAAATGCAAAACTGGGTAAATTCTTCTGGTTAGGACTACAAAAATAAAGTGAAAATTCAGGGAAAACATGAAGCTGTAGAAATATAATACTGTGTACCATTTAACATTATCGTTATGGGCATCTGTCCAGGAGCATATAAAGTGCATAAATTTGGAAAAAAAGTAAATTCTGAAAGTGTGAAATATAAGTTTCACTGTATACATTCTCAAATAATGTTGTAGATACAAGAAAAGACATTCTAATCAAAGAATACAGATTCAAAGTCATTAACCCTTTGACGTGGTCATTTAAATTCCGCGGCCGCGGCTCCTGCGGTAATATATTCAGCCGGCCATTTAAATTTTGCTCGAAAATTATTTATTCATCATTGTTCTTAAATTCTATGAGATAGGAACATGAAACTTTCACTAAAATGATCTTAAATGGTGGTTTTATAACCTTACCTTATAATATGGGCGCCCTGTATCTCGGCCATGGAAGCAGGTTGTTTAGTATTTCAGCAGTGAATGGTACGCCTTGAAGGATGAAACTTTCACTAAAATGATCTTAAATGGTGGTTTTATAACCTTACCTTATAATATAATAT